TTAGCCCAAACTATATGTATCACTGATTTACATAATCAGTCCCTGTTAATTTAATTAGTCTCTTTTGATCACTAAATTAATTCCAAATTAATTGTTGATGAATACCAATTACATAATATGATTTCTCAATTAATATATTATATTTATAATATACTAATAAATCACAAATAACCTCTTCCTCAAATATCCATCCTATCAAATTTCTCCGGTGAAGGCAACCCAAATAGACCATGCTACTATCGGGTCAAGTATATACCAATTATAGTTATGGGCTTAGATACCTAATCCAACAGTCTCCCACTTGGATAAGTCTAATAACTATAATTGTCAATGCAACTTTAAAAACCGATTAGCAATCGTAGCTCTCAAAAGCCATCATCGAACTCTGACGCGTCCTTTAGATAAGGGGTCATATAATCCTCTGTTCTTCAAGATATCTCATGGACAAATACATGGAACATAGTCATACTTATTATCCAGCAGTTTGTTTCCCGATTTATGATTTGTTTGAGATAAAACTTAATTGAACACATCAATTTAGTCTTGACCGGGCCCGACACATAAATCAAAACAAAATCATCGAAGGGCCCAAGATATCGCTTTTAATCCTCTTAGGATAAAAGGAATAGATAAACTTTGACTTATATGCTTGTACTAATTACTTGTTAAATTATACACAACACGTTTTATATAATATTTTTAAATAAATGCACCTAATAATAATAAGTAATGACATATTCTAAATAAATGCACCTCATCACAAACTTTCATATAATTCTCTAAATACGACATTAGATGTTCTATTTGTAAGTTTATTGTCATTGTTTAAAATTAATATTTTTAATCCATCTTTGCTTTAACCTTGGACAATGCAATAACTGCCCATAAGTGAGCGTTGATTGTCTTAAAAAACCCACATTCGATAACGACTGTCCTTCACTCTTGTTTTTTGTTATCTCAAAATATACAACCAATAGAAATTGTCTTCTTTAAAATATAAAATGAATCATTTTATCCGAATACGTCAAAGACATTCTTGAAATAAACGTACGGTTTTCTTATATCACTAACAGAAATATATATATATATATATATATATATATATATATATATATATATATATATATATATATATATATATATATATATATATATATATATATATATATTTTATAACACGATTACACAATACTATAACATATAACCTCGTTCCATTAAACAAACCGAGTGCATCAAGATATGATTTTCAAATTGAAATATATATAGCCTCTACCATATAGGAATAATAACATTATACATCTTTTTTGAACTTATGTTTAGTTCATGAGCTTATATATAATTTTATTATAATAATAATCACAACTAATTTTTATAAGTTCAATTTTTTTGATCATCTTTATATATTTTTGTGATATTTTTAAATATCAAATAAATAATAATAATAATACATCCATTGTGAAAGTTATATTTAATTCATGAACAGAATAATATTTTAAATTAGTTATTTTGAATTGATATTTACGTAATTCAATAAGAAAATACTAAATATATATTAAATAATATGAACTAACAATTGATTTTTTTTAAAAAAGTCATAAAATATATCACTTTATTCTTCTTAAACTATTTTATGATTCTAACGTATTAAACATAACAAAAAAAATAGTGTTAATAAACATTAATTTAAGGTGAAAGAATATCATTTTTTCAAAATGCAAGATGCAAAATGCAAAATAATAATAATAATAATAAATAATGACAAATTTAATGTTTAATTATTTAGTTGCAATTTTATTTTCTTGGATTTGAAACCGGTTGTAAATTTGGTTAGAATAACGGTTAAATCTTGACTCTTAATAAGTTTGTTTTCATTTATTTTTCGCTTAGTTAAGAAATAAAGATGATAATTAGGAAAGTTTAAGATTAACATACACAATAGATATAGGAATTTATAAAGAAAATGTTTTTATACACATTTTAAGTAATCCTTATTCTAATAAAAAAAAATAGTTTTATTCTTCTTTTGATATGTGTCATTATATTAAGTTTCATAATTAATTTATATTTTATTTTCTTTTGCTATGTATCGCTCTATTATATTTCTTAATTAATGCATGTCACTTGCTAACCTATTGAATTTCCATTTCAAATTTCAAAATTTAAAATTTTCATTCTAATTACATTAAATTAATAACATTAGAATAGAAATAAAAATAAAATTAACACAAATTATAAAGTGATATAATTTTATATATTTGTTTAAAGCAAAGATTATAATTTTATATAACTAAAAAAATCTCTTAATTAATAATTTATTTAAAATAACTGATTAATAATTTTGAGTTTTTAATATTAAAGTTTAATTAAGTTTGTAACCGTGGTTCCCACAGGTTATAAACTAGTATATTAATAATTTATTCTAATAAGTGAAAATTCATTTTGCTGCATGTCAATCTCTCATAAGTTTTGATACTCATCATTTTGTAGTATTTTTGAAATAAATAATATCCACATGTTAATTTCTAAAGGGTTTTTTTAAATTAAAAAGTCACATAATACATATAGCTATATAAGTATTGTTTTAAATATAAATATGATCTTAAATTGCAATAATTATGTTTTTTCCTTCTTTATTTTAAAATTTAATTAATACTTAATATTTATATTTTGATATTTAATTTTTTTTAATTAACTCATATAATACATGGATCTCACACTTAGTCATTAAATAAAACAACAAAATACTAATAAATTGCATTTAAGAAAAAACCATTAATTACTAGTACACGTATTGTGATACCCGCAAATATTTCTCTTTCAAACTAAACAATTACTAGTACACCTATTGTGATTCCTAATACAAGAGTAATAATAGGAATAACAATTACTAGTACACCCATAGACCTCTTTTAAGGATTCCAATATAGAAAAAGAATTGATAGCTTGTACTTCTGTTGTATCAATTATCATTTTAACGATTCAGTTACGTTGTTGTATACCTGTAAATATTTCTCTTTCTAACCAAACAATTACTAATACACCTATTGTGATTCCTAATACAAGAGTAAAAATAGGAATAAACATCCATATGATCTCATAGACCTCTTTTAAGGATTGCAATATAGAAAAATAATTGATAGTTTGTACTTCTGTTGTATCAATTATCATTTTATCAACAAATTGGATTGATTTATATGAGTTGATTTTCTGTTACCATAAATTGATGAAACAATAGCAAGTCTAATAGCAACTTCAACAACACCAAGGAATAGAGACTTTACAAATCAAACCCAAGGTTTCGAATGAAAAGGATATAGGATTTTTAGTGAAAACCTCCGCTTAACCAATTTTTAGGAAATTTTGTTTTGAAGAATTGAAGACCATTAGAGCTGCATTTTAGATAAATTTCTCTATTCTAATCGAATCTATTTACTTACTTTTGAAGAACATTTAAATGTTCATTTTCAATTTTACATTACATTTTATAAACTCCAAAATCAATAGAAGATACAATTACGGATGTTTCCAAAATGTTAAGTGATATGCATGAAATTCGAGTAGGGTAAATGTTTTTATATCGTCAAATTTTTCTTTAACATTAGTGTGATTTCAATATATTTGTTTGGCAACATTTATTGTGATTAGATATATTAGTTTGAAACAAATTAATTACCGTTGTTAGATGGATAAATAAGAAAATAAATAATTTTTATTAGGTTTTATATTAGGAAAAAACCTCACGATTAAATGGATTGATAGATGAGAGGCATAACTTAGTGGTTTGATGAAAAATAAGAGCATCTTAATTTTGTTAATTGATAAATAAGGGTGAAAACTTTTAAATAGATTGATAGGATGAGAGACAAACATTCTATATTAAATGAAAGTTTTTTTTTATCAAATATCATCATTTAATTTAATATGTCACATGATATATATATATATATATATATATATATATATATATATATATATATATATATATATATATATATATATATATATATATATATATATATATATCTTTACTATCTTATAAAAGAAATCACACTATTTCTAAAAATAAATTGAATATAATAATAATATTTTTTAAGACGTTCAAGTATCTATGCTTAAAGTACAACTAATCAACAATAAAATAATATTAAATTTTATCCACGCTCTTTAATCTTTATAAATCCGATCTCTTTCCCTTAATTCCCGGTTCATTCAAAATTTGAAACGTTTTTTATACAAATACGCACACCAAGTATTTTTAAATGTGGCATATATCGACCCTGGTATTCATCTTCACCCAATTAGCGAGTCAATCCGAGATTCAGTGGGAGACGCATTCAAATTGAAATTGGAAGAACTTATGATCTCTTTTTCGCCTCTCAGTTTGCCACATCACTTCCGTCCCTATTTTTCCGGTATCTCAAGCAATGAATCCCACTAAGAACCGGTAGTCTGGTACTTTCATCTCCTCTCTAACAAACCACCAATGCACCAACACCTCTTTTTTCTCTCTGTATCTCTCTCTCTCTCTCTCTTCTCTCTCTCTCTCTCTATTACTCTATCAAAGAAACCCTAACTATGGAATTTCAGAGCAACCACCACCACCGTCTGCACTGCCACTGAACAACTACCACCACAACCACCGATTTTCTCTGTAAGAAAGGCCTTAATCAATTGCCATTTCATGGTACGATTTCAATAGTAATCAATATTTAACGCCTCTCTCACTCTCTCTCTCTCTCTCTCTCTCTATATATATATATATATATATATATATATATATATATATATGTATGTATGTATGTATTCTTGAACGCATAGCTCTTTCTCTATTTCTATCTTCACGACCACAAAGGTCTTCATCTATCGCTTTATGACTTTGTGTGTATCTGTTTCTAAAGTATTAGACTGAAGGTTCTTGTAGCAAAAGTTGAAGGTGCTGTCAATTTCTATGGTGAACAAAACTTTAACAGATTTGGGGGTGGCATGGAAAGAACTCTACCATGGGAAAGAATCATAAGCTTCTTGAAGATGCTCGTGTTCATCTTTTAACTTATCTACAATTCTATTTGGGCAGGTAATGTATAGTTTCTTAATAAGTTAACTTAGTTTTAGTTTTCACTAAAGTGTAAACAGTTTGATGGATGATGATTTTGGTCAAGTGGTGTAGGTCAACCCTGTGTCTCGATTATCTGTCTCTTGTACTTAAGCACATGAATGATCCATGAAAGACACTGCTAAAGGTACAAGTGATTTTTTTACTTTTAATTTAATAATGATTTGGATAAATGGCAGGATGAAGGTATTGAAAAGGTTGTGGAATTTATGGATGCATACTTCATTAGTCAGGAGAATTTGGATTCACTAATGCTCATGTCCAAGTTTCAAGTAAATAACAAGTTGTGGTTTTTTATTCACGTGCGTTATAAATTTATAATTATTATTATATGTGTAGGGGAGGCCGAATTTACTTGAGGTTATGCAACTTGCTGTGAAAGCTGCACTTATAAAGGCGTACAATAAAGGAAGCAAGACACGGGTGATACCAAGAGCAGATTTGATCACACTTCCATGCATTAAATCTTTTTTACATGATGACCTATGAATTAGAAAAATGGAATATTTACATATTGTTTATGATAATCTTAGTAAATATCCTCAATTCAGTTATTTTATATCAGATAGTCAAAGTTACTCATTTCTTCCATTTTTTCCTTCAAAATTTTTAAAATCTGTGAAACAATCTGCAAAAAGTGTTGAACTTTTATAGCTCTTGTATGATACCCATTTGTGCTTCTTTGAGGTTTGTGATTTTTCTTTTTGCAGGTGTTTTGCTTTATAACAACAGGATCATGTGATATCTGTGGAAGCATACACTAGAGGGATTATATAATTTGGTTAAACTGAAGAGGATTGAACAAGAAACTCACCTCATGGAGGTTTAATCTATTATCTTTTTATGATTTCTTATACTTTTCAAACATAGAATTCATAACAAGTTAGTATGTTATATTTATTCATGCGTAGCTATGTGTCGTTTGGTTTAATTTGAGTCCATTCCTAACTTGAAAATAATGATGTGCTTAACTGCATGCAATATCAGTGACCCCCCAAAAAAGATTGGATTCTCTTTCTATTTTTATATTTTCTAATTTTGTTTTGAACATAGTGAGTTGTATAGTTGGTTGCTAAATGTATCCTCTCAAGTAAATAGTCTACCTCTTCTAATCACAAAATTGCCAAAATAGGGAAAGGTATCTACCAAACTTCCAATTTTTTTGAATTTTTAATATTATAGTGACATGCACGAATTTTTATAGAAATGTTTTTGTTTGACCATTTAATAAGCAAGTTTTACGGTGGTTCCATTGGCAATACGTGGTCATTTGTGTAAAAGGTTGATGCATTTTTTGTTAAGTAGTTTCTGCTATCTTGGTAAAAAAAAACGAAAATAAATCTTTTTATAAGCTCTATACGTGTGACCATGGTTTTTTTTTGAGTAAATTACACGAATGGTCCCTATAGGTTAGGGTAATTTGCACGTTTGATCCCTAACTTATTTTTTTAACTCGGAAGGTCCCTACTGTTTGTTTTTGTTACGCGCTTGGTCCTTATCTTACCTAAAAAGATTATTTTGCCCTTGATTTTTTAATTTATTTAAATAAACACACCCCTAATCCCACCCCCTCACCTACCCCATCATTTTTTCCTCTTTAAATAATAGTCTTTTTAGATAAGATATGGACCAAACACGTAACAAAATTAAACAGTAGGGACCAAACGCATAACAAAAAAAAACCATAGGGACTTTTCGAGTTAAAAAAATAAGTTAGGAACCAAGCACGCAAATTACCGCAAACCATAGGGACCATTCGTGTAATTTACTCTTTTTTTTCCTTATATTTTGTAATTTTAGGAAATTTGTGCCATGAAATTTAATGTGTTTGTTACAACCTATGTTTTCATCATGTATGATCGGTCAAAGCTTTCAAGACTTGACTGGAAGTATATTATAATTAACAAAAACGCCCTTGATTACACTTATAGCTCTTCAGGTATGCCTCTTCACGTTTTTGCTGTTTGTGAAATACCAGATATATCTTTGGATTGATGATATTATTATTGTGTATGTGTATCATTGTTTAGGGACAGTTCCAGAACTATCTGAAAGTATTGATGTTTGACAAGGTATGGTGTACAAACATGATGATATTATTATTATGGGGATTACCTAGAATGAGAAAGAAATATATAAATATTGGCTGCCTTTCTTTGTGTGTGTCGAGTATTGAACAAAATAGGGCTGCAAAAGTACGTGTTTTGTTAATACAAAAGAGAAAAGGAACTTCATTAGGTGAATGTGATGTGCGTGCAACAAGAAAAAAAACAAAACATAAGTCGTACATCAACAATGACGTGTGGAATCTACTCACCATCCCACCATACTACTAGCTGCACATAACTGATTACCTAGCTAACTTCACTCATCCATTCCAACCTTGTGCCAACCAGACACTACAATGACACTCTTATGGCCCCACTCTCGGTCAACATCTCATTCTTCATATCCTATTCAGTTAACACTCTTTATATCTCCATACAATAGGCAACCCACTTACCATTAAACCTACCCCACTTAATTCCATGTCACTAAGAAAGTCAAAAGTCAAACTGCCACATCATTAACTTTCAACCCTACTCCTTTTATTTACCATCTACCCCCTTAAATTACCCCAAAATTACCCTTTAACCCCTTTTTCAATTAACTATTTTTTCCAGCAGTTGATATATTATAACAATGCCATCTAATACTATGATAAAATAGCAACCAACTCCATTTTTTTCTTACTATAGCATCGTACTTTAAAAGTTGGTTGCTATTTTAAAGTATGATGTCCTAATAGTAGATGAGTGTGTGGAAAAAAAATATATCATTTTACTTTTACTATGTTTCTTTTCATGAACTTGCATTTATTCGTGTGTTGAGTAGGATCATTTGTGACAATTTAGTAATTACATATCATGGGTTCATGAGCCTTACCAATTGTATTTTAATCTATTTTCAGTTGGAAGTTAAAGGATATTTGAAGAGTTCTGAAGAATAACAATGTAATGATCATTCAGTTTCATTGTTGATTCCAATTAATTATGTATATGGAACCTATCCAATAATAAAAAAAAATTGAATTTGTTGTAATTTATTTTTGTATTGGTAGTTACAATTTTTATATTAATTAAACAACATAAATTAACTTGTTTTTTTTTTACGGCGAACTTCAATTTATGAAGTTATACTATTTAATTTAAAACAAATATAACAGTGTAACTGTTTAGAATGATAATTATTTTTTAATTGTAAGTAGTAATTACCTAGATATAAATGAAAATATAAATGAAGTAAATTTAAAGTTAAATCATATTAATTTTTTAAATATATTAATTGTATGACGCGATTAAGCAGTATAGTTAAAAATACATTTAACTTTTTTGAATTAACATCGACAAAATGTGAAACCATGTTTTTTTTTAAGTAATATTAATTAATGGTGTTTTGACAATAAACCAAACTAAAAAAAATAATGGCAAATAGTGATATGCATATTTTTTGAAAAATAATTAAGTATTGTGTGATTAATTGTCGATCAAACGAGGCAAAACTTCGGAATAAGTTAAGATATTACGGTTATTTGGAGTTAGCATTATGAGTGATTAATTGCAATTTGTAAAGAGTGACAGAAATGGATTTATCAGCATTTAAGAATTATAAAAACTCAAAAAATATGAATGTAAATTGGTTAACACTTAATGAATTTTACGATTTGATCTGATAGTCGCAAGTAAACTATTTAGAGAAATTAATTAATCATCGCCCATAAACAATTCGTCGCCGCTGCTTTGCGCGAGTAAACGACTAGTATATATATATATATATATATATATATATATATATATATATATATATATATATATATATATATATATATATATATATATATATATATATATACTAATTTTTTCAATTTCATTTTAATCCATTTGACAATTTGTGGTTTTTTTGGCTTGGTTATTAAATTATAAAAAAAAAATCTAATCTAAAAATATAATAAAGAAAATAAGAAAATTTAAATGTCTCCATAATTTCTCAATTAATTTGTCAATTAATGTATTAAATTCAATTTAAATTCAAATCAACCTTCATAATTTGAAAAACATAATATTTAGTCAACCCCTTTTCAATTCATGATAATTTGCAAAAAACCTTACAAAATTGGTTCATTCACATTTAATACTCATATATATATATATATATATATATATATATATATATATATATATATATATATATATATATATATATATATATATATATATATATGACTAAACTCACAAATGGTTTCTCTGTTTAGCAGAAAATTGTCACTTTTGTCCAAAAAGGTTTGGACTAGTACCAGAGGTCCATACTTTTCATTTTGTTGTAAGTTTGGTCCAATTTGCTTTTAACTTTTCTATAATAACGAATTTTCCCTTAGCTTTTGCTTTTTCAATTTTTTTTGTATTTATTTAAATACTTTTATAATTTAAAGAAAAATAAAAATGAGAATTTCTCTCTCTACTCTCTCTCTCTCTCTCTCTCTCTCTCTCTCTCGAACAGTTCATATCTTCTACCTGGTTTTTCGAGCATTAGGGTACTTGATTCCATATTCGAACAATCCTTCAGCTTAATAATGTTACGAGAAGGGTCAGGAAGCTCATCTATAAGAACATCAACAACTAAAGGGATACGAATCGAAGAACTTGAACCAGATTTATCAAATTTTCACTACCCTTCAAACTCAAAAATCAATTTTCTAGGAATTTCACTTTTGTATGAAACTTTTTGACAAGTAATGAAACCGATTTAGGTTGCAAAGGGTCAAAATGATGATTATAGGTGTCAACAAGAACTAATTTTGAGTTAAGAATCAATTTTACACATATTTCCCCTTCCGATGTAAGAACATCAAGATTTAGATACGGGGGATACCCTCCATGAATATGAACAACAACTAGATCCAAGGAAAGAGGAGAAAAGGGCAGTCCTGAAAGTCAACTACAACTCACCTGAAATCTTCACTATCAGATTCTCCCTCTTGTTTTCCATCATCTCAGGTTTGATTCGTTAATTTTCCATCAACTAGAATCTTGGAGAACACACAAAAGGATTTCGTTATGGGTTTAGGGTTGGTTCATCCGAGAGCCAAGATCATCCTCCTTAAATCCTCTGATTTTGTTTTCGATCAACACAAATCGGTTTTGATCTTTGTTTTGAGGTATTAGAATGGAGGGGAAGTAAAAGGGAGGGGCTACCTTTCTTACAGTGTATGTGTGTGTGTGTGTGTTTTTTAGGAAGACGATGGGTGTGTGCTTAGGGAAGTAGATAGGGTTGGTGGAGATACTTTGGCCCGTAAGAGAGAGAGAGAGAGAGAGAGAGAGAGAGAGAGATTTTCTTTTTTATTATTCTTTTAATTATAAAAGTGTTTAAATAAATAAAAAAAACTAAAATAAAATAAAAGGTAAGGGCAAAATAGTCATTATAAAAAAGTTCAAAGCAAATTGAACCAAACT